GTAGTAGTAGTAGTAGTAGTAGTAGTAGTAGGTAGTAGTAGTGGTAGTAGTAGTAGTAGTAGCAGTAGTAGTAGTAGTAGTAGTAGGTAGTAGTAGGTAGTAGTAGTAGTAGTAGTAGTAGTAGTAGTAGTAGTAGTAGTAGTAGTAGTAGTAGTAGTAGTAGTAGTAGTAGTGACAGCTTGGCGGGAGGCCCGCGAAAGCGGAAGGAAGTAAAACGAGGGCGGTTCCGATGCGCTCTCAGACGTGTTTACAGGATGCTGATTCAGGGGGTCGGGTCCTGGATGTTTTTTCCGCTGTTTCGGCCTCCCAGGGCTGCCTTCGAGCCCTTGGACCGTCAACGAACGATTCGGCATGAGTCATGCGCCTTGGGGAAAGCCTCGGAATCCAGGTTCTGTTCCCAGGTTTGTTTTCCGCCAGGACCCCCTCGTCCCAATACCTCCCACCCGAGGTCCGAAGTGCATACGTGAACATACATTTTCGGGTGCCCGTGCGGAATTAATGGATCGGCGTTGGATCGACCTTTCCACGACCCGAAAAGTCCGCGCGGACCTCCGAAAGTGTGTGTGTGCGTGTGTGTGTGTGTGTGTGTGTGTGCGCATCTGTTACCTGAGCCCGGCAATCGCTCGCTGGTCTGACCTCCCATCGGCACACGATCAGCGGTAATCACTCTTAGCGCGTCCCGCGTTGGCACTCGTGGCGTTGGATCAACTGGCCGCGAAGCTAAAAGTGTGCGTGTGCGCGTGCCCGTGTCAGTATGACGTTCGTGGTCTTCTTGAACTTACTTGTCCCGGTACGCTTCCCTCGTGTTCGCCTTGTGGTCGGGGTCTCCAGGGAAGGCACCGCCGCCACCACGGCCGGATTCCATTCCGAACCCTGGCCAGAGCGCAGCTCGGAAGAGGTCTTGGGAGTGGTGGTGTTGGTCTGCTCCTCCCCAGGCGGGTGATTGCAGTTCTTGTCGGTCTTGGTCAGGGCTCAGGAGAGCGACGCAGAGAAACTGGGTCGTCTGCACTGACATTGGCGCGTAAGCTGCCCGCGTAAGGTCGCGCGTAAGCGCCCTCGTCTCCGATGCGGCGTTCCGCGCTGGCTGCCTGCGTAAGCCACAGCGTAAGGTCGCCATGCCATCTCGCGTAAGACCCGTTTCTTTTCGTTGCCCAGGTGCTGGATTCGCCCAAGGACTCTGGCACCCGCGCCGAAGGACTGCATGTTCTGAGCGTGCTCCTTCCCGTTCCCCGCGCGCTCCCGTCCCCGTGCTGCCCGCGAGGTTCTCCCTGACTGGTTAGGTGGTCGCAGGCGGAGTCGCCCTTTTTCGGCGTAGAGGCGCCCGCCCGCGTGGTGCACACCCATCCATCGTGAGTGGTGCCCGCGGGCATTGCTTTTATTTTCGCGGTGCCCGCCGCCGCTCATATGCACCGCTGGGCCACACCCTAGTAAGCCCACTTCGGCCACGCGCACGCCCCGCGTCTGCCCCAGGACGCAGCCAGGATTCTCTCCGCTGCGACTAACCGATGCTGGCCTCGCCGCGAGAATTGCCCAGCCGCTCGACTGCGTATGCCGTCTGCTGAGCAGCACCCGTTGCCGGCTGATGCCGCCAGGCGTCATCCCCGCTGTGCGGCCCCAACCTTCGGCCCAGCCATGCATGCCACGCACTCGCCGCTGGCGCGGCGCTGCGTACAGTCAAAACGCACAGTGAGGATGAGCGGCTTTCCAAGGTACCTTTGCTTCCTTCCCCTTCGGTTCATCCCTGGGTCGTTCTCGCTGGCCGCACCCCGAAGGAGTCGACATGGTCTTCCAAGGCCCGTGCATCCTTACAGCGCATCCTGGTTATGCGTTTTGACTGCAGTCATTCTCTTTTTGCTGCTCCCCCCTCCCTCGGCACCGTCCCGCCCCCCCTCAAGCAGAGTTCTCGTCAAAACGAAACTCAGGATCCCTGGATAGGCCTGGCGGTAGGTGCAGGCTTTCATCGTCGCCGGTATTCGAGCTTCGGATCTCTGAAGGTTTGGCTTGTAGAATCCTGAGGAATCCCTTGTTCCCCTGCCTCAGTCCTCCTGCCTCCTCCTCCTGTTCCTCCTCCTCCTCCTCCTCCGCCTCCATCTCCCCCTCCCCCCCCTCCCCCCTCTCCTCCTCCTCCTCCTCCCTCCTCCCCTCCTCCTCTCCTCCTCCTCCTCCCCCTCCTCCTCCCTCCTCCTCCTCCTCCTCCTCCTCTTCTTCCTCCTCCTCCTCTCCCCCCCTCCCTCGAACACGGCAGCTGCTGCGCGGATCCCTCGCCTAGCCCGTGGGTCTGCCCCTCCTTGAGGCCGCACTCCCTCCCTGTCAGTCGACGCTGGCGTGGCCTCTCTTCGCGGGAAAATCGCCACGTCGAGTCATCGTCGTCAACGTTCGGCGTCCGAGATGGTACTGTGATCGTCGATCTGGGCCCGATCTGTCTTTCGCTCGTACAAGGCGAGTGTCCCCAGCTTGATTACGGCGTCTCCTGAGGCGCTTGCCTTCGCTTCGGTTGCTTCCTCTTGTAGCCCACGTCGCACCGTTGGTACAAAACCTCGTTTCGTTGCGGACGGTTGCGAGCCCAGCGCTGTTCTCAAACATTGTCCGTGCAGGTGCGTTTAGCGTTGTCCGGTACGCCCGCCTCATCGAGAAGACCAAGACGCAGAAGGAGTGGGCAGAGGAGCTTCCGACGCTGGTTGTTTCATGACGCAGAGCGGGCGACCACGATCCGCATTTTGCGTTCAAGGGTGAAGAAAGGAGTGCACGTGAGTGTGATGGGGCCCTGCGCGCGTGCGTATTCAGCGTGCCCGAGTTAGCTCGCGACCGCCGTCCACTTGGACCAGTGGCTAAATTCATACAGTACGACGGTCGTGCCACGTCTGCCACATCGTTGTTGTGCCAGCGGCTACTTCAGCGTTTTGAGCTCATGGTGGCCCTCGCACCATTCCTTCGCCGTATCTTGGCCATGGATACAAACGCCCCTCAGGGTCTTTGGGGGGCCCCACCCACCTCTCCGTGCCTCCGCCTCTCCGGCCTCCATCCTTCATCGGCCACTTTCGACCCTCTTTCCTGTTGCTGCTCCTCCCGCCCAGAGGGTCCCCCAGGGTCTCCGGAGGCCTCGCCGAGATCTCCGCAGACGGGGCCCCCCAGGAGAGAGCCACCCCTCCCGCCCTGGGCAGCCGGGGGGAAGCGAGGCGCGCGACGGGCAGCCGGGGGGGGAAAGAGAGAGAGAGAGGGGTAGAGTTGAGGCAAGGAGAGCGATACAGAGAGGCAGCGAGAGCGATGCATATATACATATATATATATATAGAGAGAGAGAGAGAGAGGGATGGAGAAAGAGAGACAAAGAGAGAGAGAGAGAGTGAGCGAGAGAGGCAGAGAGAGAGGTGGAGAGAGAGCGAGAGATAGAGAGAGAGAGAGACAGAGAGATACGGAGAGGAAGAGACCCATGGATCAAGAAGTGCGGGCCTGCTGGGGATCGGGATGAGGATGTGGACGGAGACATGGCGGGGAGGTGACGGTGAGCAGACGAGGATAGGGTGATGCACGGGAAGGAGGAAAGGATGGGAGGGATGGAGAGATGAGACGGGATGGAGTGCTCGTATTCCTCTTGGGAGGGGCAGGGAGGGACGGAGAGAAATGTAAGGTATTTTTGAATTGCGACCTGATTCGCCATAAATGCGGTCAGATAGTATAGGCACTCAACTAGCTTCAGACACACGAGCAATCGCGAGCACGAAAGCACGGGCGCCAAGGGGCAGTATGCAGTATCGGTCCAGCCTCTTCCAAATGACCCTCCCAACCATCCCGAGATGACGGCTAGCGCGCTCTACCGGCACGAACACACTCAGGGAGGACGGACTCATACCCTGCTTCGCCAAACCGCGAACAGGCTCCAGACCTCAAAAGGGCGGAGTATATAGGAATCAGGAGGGGAAGAAACACACAGACACAATCAATCGTCGATCCCCAGGAAAATATGGGAAAATATGGGAAGTGGGGGGGGGAGACAGAAACCCAGAAAATATGGGAAAAGATGGGGCATCAGTTTATTTGTGTGTATTTATTTGTGTGTGTCCTTGGGCCCCTTCAAAGAAGTCTGCTCCATTCTTCCCACTCACTCTAACCCACCCCCCCAATCGTTTCACTGCACCAAGTCTAGCTCAGACAATCGACGCTGCACGAGGAGGAGGGAAGGGGCGGGGGGCCGAACAGACGAGCGGAGGGGGGGAGCAGGTGAGAAGGCCAATCGCCTCCCGGCGAGTCCGCTGCGGACACCTCCGCGCCAGAGAGACATGGCGGGGCACGCTATTCGCACTCTCGGCCAGGCAACCAGCGCGAAGGAGCCGGCAGGGAACAACAGGCAGCAAAATGCAGCCCGGGGACGGTCCTGAGTGTTCTTCACGCCGTTCCGAAGGACGGCGACAGGCGAAAGAGGCAGCAGCAACGAGAGGCAAAAACCCTTCCCTGCTACCCCTTCTCGTCGTTCCGGAGGACGGCGACAGGCGAAAGAGGCAGCAGCAACGAGAGGCAAAAGCCCTTCCCTGCTACCCCTTCTCTGCCGCTCGCCGCGCGGGGAAGAACGGACAGCGATGGGGCAAGCAGACCCTTCCCTGCTACCCCTTCTCTGCCGCTCGCCGCGCGCGGGGAACTCGGCTGCAGTGATGACGGAAGAAAGGGGAGAGGAGGGAGGAGGAAAATTATCGTATTCCCTTCCTATCAACTATGTCTACCGTCACTTTGACACCACCAGCTGGTTGGGCCTAATCGAACAGGTGAAGACTGAAATTGGGATCCGCTGTCCAAGGGGCCACAACTCGAAGCCTAGCTTCACGCTCAGCCTGTAACCGCGCCTTGCGGCACCTACGGGCCTCTCGCCTGTTCTTGAGAGTACGCTGCATCTGGCTCTCCGATATTGTGATTGGAGTCAACGGCACCGGCACACGGCTCTGCTCACCCAAGAATGCACGCGCTTCAACATACTCCGCTTCGCACCAGGCTACTGGACCACCCGTGTCCTCCTCAGGCGCCTCCTCCTCTGCCAGTGGGGTCGGGGGGGTAACTATCAGGAGGGGAAGAAACACACAGACACAATTAATCGGCGATTCCCAGAAAATATGGGAAAATATGGGAAGCGGGGGGGAAGACAAGAACCCAGAAAATATGGGAAAATATGGGGGATATTTTTATTTGTGTGTATTTATTTGTGTGTCCCAGTTCCCCTTCAAACTAGGTCGGGCATCGCCTCTGGTGCAGGAATGGGAAGAAGCCTCGCCATCTCTGGATCGGGACGGGCACGCTCCTTGGCTCTGGACACGAAATCGGGGGCCCACGACTCATCGGTGCACGCGTATGGATCCCAAGAAACCCAGAACAGTAACAGCTCCTGACGCGTCGCATCTTCGTCGCGCATGTCACAAGGAACCTCTTCGTCATACGATCTAGCTCCGTCGTCGAACATGGTACTGATGGTAGTGGCGATGCAGTCCGCGATACATCGGCACAACGCAGGAGGATAAGTCTTCTTCTGGGCAGTGCGCCAGACATGGGACTTCCGATCGTATCCAAGTAAGGTCTGGTGCCCACCCCTCCCATGCGAGCACCGTCCCCGCCCAGGCGTGTTGAGTAATGCTGCGTGCAGTCCTGGCATCCTCAAGGCGAGGATACGCGTCGGGGCTCGTGAACTCTGACCGTGTTCACATTGGTCGAAGTCCGTGGTAGTGACCGCAGGCGACGACTCAAGTGCGCGCAGGGGGTGCCAACTGAAAGAGCTGACGGCCTGCAACCTCCACCCGCAAGGCTGGGGATGCTCCATCCAGCAAGACGTGCCCGCCTCTAAGTGTACTGCAAACAATTCCACCATTGCTTGTAGTAGTGCATTACCTACCCAGAGTTGTTCCATCTGCCGTGGATTCACGTTAGTTTAACCCCAGAAGGCATCGTGCGTGCGTAGAGGGGGTGGCCCAGGGCCATCGGCCCACCGCGACGCAGACCATGTCTCGCAGGGGGGACCCCCTCCGGACAAGACAACTCGACGATCCCGAATGTGCCTTTTCCAAGTCTCTAGGGTACGTCTGTTCATCATGTCCCCTAACGTCGCATGAATCGCAATGTCTACCGAAAGAACATGGATACAGACATTGGCCTCGTGATGAGACCAGTCCAAGCGTGCTTGAATATCCCCAGCCCTCCGACGCCCACAGTATAAATTCAACACAAAGTACTCGGTACGGCGCACGTGCACAGGGACCGGGTCCGCAGCAATCCCTGTATACCGCTCAGTCAAGAACAAACGACTTGGGTAACGCTCCGTGCTATACTGAACTTCCGAAGCAGGCGGCGGCGGCAAAACAGCGGCATCGACGTCCGGCCGTCTGTCGGGCGCCAGGGCCGCAGCCGCATCCGAAGACAAGGCCGGGTCGGACTCAAGCAAAGCAATACGGGCATCCATCTGACACGGAGGAGGAAGGCAGTGGAGAGCATGGGCAGGAATGGCAAAGGGAGGGGGGGAGGGGTAACCGGGAGGGATGCCGTGAGGGAGTGTTGATGCCGCATCAGCTCGTGACGCGCGACGCAGAGCTGACACTCAGCTGACCGAGGGTCAGCACTGTGACGACGGCCCGCCTGCTCCGGGCCAACAGTACGCCGTCAAGGTCATCAACACGAAGACCATGGAGGAGCTGGGCTACCAGGCCCCGCGGTTTCTCCCGCGGCATGGTGGGCGGGGGCGGCGGCGAGGGCAGCGCGGAGTGGAGTGGAGCCGGGAGGGGCAGCGGAGGGACAGGTGGGTCGTGACGCGGGAGGGGCAGGAGGGAGGACGGGCAGGAGGGAGGACAGGGAGGGACGGGAGGGGCAAGGGTACAGGGAAGACGGGCGGGACAGGGAGGGACAGGGAGGGACAGGGAGGGACAGGGGACAGGAGGGAGGACGGGGGAAGCGGAGGCACAGGAGGGAGGACAGGGAGTCGCAATTAGAAGACAACGGCACAAGCATGGCCAGGAGAAGAGAGACCTGTCGGACCTGATGGGTCGACGCCGGCCCACCCCGGCGGTGCCTCCGGCGCCGCCCCCGGCGCCGTCCCCGGCGAGCTTCGCGCGCCAGGGGGCCGGGGGTCCAGCGCGGGTCCAAGAGGTCCGCGCAGAGCTCCAGAAGTTGAATGTTCGTGCAGACATTCTTGACGCTTCGCGTATCCCCTCCCCCTCTGATTGCACGCTGGCAGACGCCCTGGGTCGCTGCCGCCTGCCGCCTGACCGCGGCCCCGCGCGCGCCCGCCCCGCTTGTCGCGGCCGCAGCCCGACCGTGACTGCCTGCCGCTGGCGCTTCCGCCTGCGGCCGTAAAAGAAAAAAAAGTATCCCCTCCCCCGTTGGCCTATGTGCCTTCGATGCCAATCGTCTCACATTGCGCCCCTGTCGAGACTGACCCGCTCTCTGGAGCCGTCCTTGGAGCCGCAGATCAAAAAAAATATCCCCTCCCCCCACCTCGCATTCTCTGCGTTTTATAACTGCTGGTGTGTTGCCTGTTGTAGTTAATTAGCCTCGCCTGCTGGCCCAGACGACGCCTTCCGCTCCCTGACCGCAGCCTCGGAGCCGCCGACCAAAAAAGTATCCCCTCCCCCTGCCGATGGCGCCCCCTCCGTGAGCGCCGCGCGGCCCGCCCCGGGGAGTCTCACCTCCCGCTGTTCTCTTGTTGTCTCTCTTTTCCTTTTCCTCTCGCGCCATTGAGGCTCCTGCTTGTTAGCTGCAGCTTTGGGCGGCGCGCGGCCCTTGAATTTGCGCTCGCGAACAAAAAGCAGTATCCCCTCCCCGAATGGGGAGAGGGAGGGGTTGGAAGAGGACGAGGAGCCGCTCTAGGCCATCAGAGGGCTGGTGGGTGTTTTTTTCCCAGGGGGGTGGGTCCCATGGTTGGGTCGTGATGCGGGAGAGGCGGCTGTGGAGGGAGTGGACGTGAATGGGCCGAGGGGCGTGCTGGGGCGTGGCAAAACAGCGGCGAGGGGGGGGCGCGGGGAGGAGAGTGAGTTGTTTTGCCCGCCCCTGCTCTGGCTACCCCGCCTTTTTTTCCCCTCTTCCTGGAAGCTGGAAACAGTTGGGGGCCCAAGCTGTTGATGGCTCAGGTTTGTCACGTTACGTCGACCCCCTTGTCCCGCTCGCAGGGCATCTTTCCGAACATGAGCATTCTGACCATCACACTCGTCCAGTAGTTGCTCCCAGCAGTACCAAGCGTGCGTTGACGACCGAACTCAAGCCCCATCCGATGCCGATGGTTGCTCCCTCGAGTATCTTCCCTTCTGTGGTCGCGCGCATGATGTTGGTCACCCTGACAGTGCTACAGTCGCACCGAGGTAAAACATCGAGGTCGGTCCGGGGAGGGTACCATGATGCTCTTCGCGTCTGTTGGCTGCTCCTGTGCATCCTGGGGGAGGGTACCCTCGCATGTTCGTGTGTTTTGGCTGGCGGAGGGTCCATGTTCTTGATGGATGTGCTTATGTCCTAGATCCTGCTGTACGTATGCTTCCCGCTCGGAGGAAGCTGGCGACGTTGGCCATTAAGATGCAGGACCTTTCCGCCAGGGTGCACGCCGCCTGGCGCCACCAGGGCGCCCAACAGTATCTGGACACAGACCTTGGTCGAAGAAGCCAGGGCGTCAAGCTCACACGGAAGCGCCAGGCCACAGAAACTTCCCAACGGCCCTGGATTTGATCCAGGGCGCGACAGCACGGCCACCGATGCCGACGGGAACGGCTCCGCCGACCTTGCGAGAGCGGATCTGCCTCGCTCCCTGGGACCGCGCCCACCCCCTGCGCCCCCTGAAGACCCCTCTGAACAGTCGAGTTCCTCCTGGGCGCCAGAGCCTTACAGCCTCAAGAGTGATCGGTTGAGTCGTTTTAGCATTGCACGATCTGTTTGTCGCCATCCTCGTGTCCCTTCGTGCTCCTCCGTATTCACTCGTCTCAGGCCGTATTATCATATGTGAGTATCTTTTCCCAGGATCTTCACGGGTTGTCCATCGGTGCCCGCACACATCGAGAACGTCTGTATTCTTGCAAGGGAAGATGTGGTTCCCGCGGGGGCAGTATCATGTCTGATCGTCTTACGCATGGCATGTTCTCTGGCACGTCTGCTCGGAGCCCTTTGGTGTCCTCGTCGTTCGGCGCCACCCGCCTCGCTGGCCCTCTCGGGCCTCCCTGGCCCATTACCCCCTTATCCCGTCCCGCTCGGCCCTCCCGCACGGGGCCTTTCTTCTGGTCGCCGAAGTGTGCTGCCGTCCGCCTACTTGGCCTACTGCCCCCCCCCCCCTCTCCAGCCTGGCCCCGTGGCACGGAGTGCTCTGTGTTTGTGGTCGTCGTCGTCGGCGCCGGTCTCTGACATCGTTCCCTGGGCGCTCTCGGACTTCCTCGACCTGCTGGCCCCCTGGCCCGCCCACGCCTCCCACCTCTCGCCGCTCCCTCCCCAAGCAAGAGCCAGAGCACGGCACGCGTCCCGCTGGTTTCTGAGGAGGCTCGCCCGCAGCCAAGCTGAACCAGCACTGATGTGTGCGTGTGCGTGTGTGTGTGCGTGTGCACGCGTGTGTGGGTGGGTGTAGGTGTGTGTGTGTGTGCGTGTGTGTGTGCACGTGTGTGTGTGTGCACGTGTGTGGGTGTGTGTGTGTGTGTGTGTGTGTGCACGTGCGTGTGTGTGTGTGTGTGTGTGTGTGTGCACGTGTGCGTGTGTGTGTGTGTGTCTGTGGGTGTGTCCCCTCTGCGCGGCCGCCCTCCTTCCTCTTCCCCCTCCCGCGTGCGGGCGAGCTCGCGATGCCACGCCCCGGCCTCGCCCCGACGCGCGTGCCGCTCGCCTCTGCCGCGCTGCGACGTCAAAAACGAGTGCGTGTGTGTGCGTGTGCGCGTGTGTGCGTGTGCGTGTGTGGCTGTGTCCCTGGCTTCCGAGTGGGCCGGCCGCGCGCGTGTCCCGCTTCCAGCTCTCTGGCCTTCTTCACGCAATGTGTGTGTGTGTGTTCGGAGGGCCCGCGCGCACTCTTTCCGCCAGCGTTGCTTGACTTGTTTCGCCTCGTCGCTGGGCGCGAGGTGTGCGTGTGCGTGTGTGTGTGCGTATGCGTGTGTGTGTGTATGTGTGTATGTGTGAGTGAGTGTGTGTGTGTGTTATTGCGTAGTTTTGGGCGTGCCAGGCCATTGTTGTCCCGTCGACTGCAGTCGTTGGCGCGTCGGAGAAAGCAGTATCTGTGAGCGGGCCATTGTCGATGTTGTTCCACGCCCGCGTGATGCAAGGCCAGCGTGAACCGCGAGATTTGCGTCTTGAAGATGCTCAGGAATCCAATTCTTCATGTGCCATCTGTTTTTCACAGCACTGCATTCGCGTTCTTTTTGGTACGTCCACCTTGTTTTGGGAAGGTCTTACAGCCGGTGCTAGCGACCCTGAAGGGGGACGACGACCACGACGGCGGCGGCGTCGGCGACGACGACGACGCCAACGTTCAGAGTCCTCAGGGATGCTTCGTGGGGCCTCTTCGGAGCGCGCTCGTAGACCTCTGGGGGGCAGTTTCGGGGCTTCTTGAGGGCATCTTGGGGGCCTCTTGGGAGCCTCGTGGGGGTCCCTTCGGGCTTCCTGGGGGCCTCTTGTGCGCCTCTTGGGGCTTCTTGACAGCTTGTCGTTGCCGAGGGCTCGACGTGTTCGTTCGGGCTCCTGTGCGGGCACCCGCTTGGAGCCGTTTTGGGAACCTCTTGGGCAGTCTGGGAGGCCTCTAGGGCCGTCTTAGGGGCCCTCTTGAATCGTTTTGGGGCCTTCTTGGAAACCTCTTGGCGGCCTCCTGTGCCGATCTTCGTGGCATATTGGGCCGCCTTGGGACGTCGCGAAGCCAGGAAGGCGAGAACGCCAGAGCCTTTCAATAGTTTGAAGAAAATGCTTGAATTTCGCATGTTGGGACTCTCTTGGTCTTTTGGAGTCCTCTTCGAGCGTCTTGGCAGCCGCTTCTGTTGTGAGGAGGCTATATTTGGCGTCTTGGGCCGATTGTTCGGCGATTTGGGGCCCTCTTGGACCGTCTTGGGGGTCTCTTGGGCTGTCTTGGAGCCTTTGTGGGCCCCAGGACCCCCTGGGGGAGGATGGCATTCTAAGCTGGGAAAATTTCCCAGGACCCCTCCGGGACTCTCATCGGACCCCCCCCAGCCCCACCCCCCCAGGGGGAAGGGATCATCAAAGGGAAGAGGCTTCCCCTCGACTCAACTACGACGTTGCTCAATTTTTCTTTGGTTTCGCTTTGGCTGGTCGCTTGAGGAGAAGGGCCTGGTGCAAGGGGGGCAGCGGCGACGGGCCCAGGGAAAGGGGTGTCAAACGCGACGGCGGCGGCGACGACGACGACGACGACGACGACGATGACGACGATGACCACGACCACGACGACGACGACGATGACGACTACGGCGACGATGACATCGAATCAAACAGAACAGCGTCTTACACACGCCGACAGGATCGGCGAATGTTCTTCACCCTCCCGCTTTCTGAACATGGTTACGTTCCCCTGTGATTGTGTGCGTTCATTCCCACCGCTAATGAAGGTGGGTATTGTTTCTGGGAGTACTACAGCCTGCCATTGACCCCGTGCATCGCACTTGTTGAACACGCCACTTCGGAGTGCTCTGCTTCTCGACTCGGGGCTGCTACAGCACTGCAGACCATCGGGGGGTGCAGCGTAATGGTCGAGCAAGTGTTGTCGAGTACGAGTGCACCAAGGGCAGGGTGTCTTCATGTCGAGCAGGCGTAGATTGAGGGTGTTGTGCTAGCGGTGTCCTTGTTGCACGGCGACATCAGCTTATCGCTCGCATGCTGCCATCTCCGCAAGACCCCGGAAAAGAGCATGGCCTGTTCCTCAGCCGCCGACCTCTCCCATGCCGTGCTGTTTTCTGCTGCACTCCTCCTGCTGTTTTCTGCTGCACTCCTCCTGCTCCTCCTCCTCCTCCTCCTCCTCCTCCTCCTCCTCCTCTTCCTTCTCCTCCTCCTGCTCCTCCTCCTCCTCCTCCTCCTGCTCCTCCTCCTCTTCCTGCTCCTCCTCCTCCTGCTTCTCCTCCTCCTCCTCCTCCTCCTCCTCCTCCTCCTCCTCCTCCTCTATCTGTCGTACACGCGCATGTCGTTACAGCATTGTTCGCGCAGCGTTGGCGCTGCGGCGACCCCCGCGTTGGCGCTAAGGGGTTGAACACCGCCGGTGGCCCAGCATCGGGCGATATCGACCAGTCTGCGCCGTCGGAGGGTCCCCCGCGTGGGAGGAGGAGGCGGAGGTGGAGGAGGAGGAGGAGGAGGAGGAGGAGGAGGAGGAGGAGGAGGAAGAGAGGAGGAGGAGGCGGAGGATGGAGGAGGAGGAGGGAGGAGGAGGAGGAGGAGGAGGAGGAGGAGGAGGAGGAGGAGGCTGACGCTGCTGGTGTGCGCGCCCAGTGGCCTGCCGAAGAAAAGGAGGAGGAGGAGGAGGAGGAGGTCGAGGGAGGAGGAGGGAGGAGAGAAAGAGGAGGAGAGGGAGGAGGAGAGGAGGAGGATGGAGGAGGGAGGAGGAGGAGGAGGAGGAGGAGGAGGAGGAGGAGGAGGAGGCTGACGCTGCTGGTGTGCGCGCCCAGTGGCCTGCCGAAGAAAAGGAGGAGGAGGAGGAGGAGGCCCCCCGCTGGCGCTGCCCATGGAGCAGCCCCGATCTGGGCCACGCGGGCTGCCTCCCCCACGGCGGAGCGCGCCTCTGCGCTCCGCAGCCACGGCGCGCCATCGCCGCGCCGTGGCTGCGCCACGGCCTCTCCAAGGCTGACGGGCACACCCCGCGGGGGAGACGAGCGCCGACGTCGCCCTCTTGCGTGCACTTGCCAAGCCAAGACACAGCGATGATCTCAAAGCAACAGCCGTGGAACTCGAACACCTAACTAGCTCTGTCCAGCAGGGCGCTGGTTCACCTGAAAAGAACCGCTTTCGCACCGAAATGCTGCCTGAACGAACGGATTCGTGAAGCATGCAAGGGGTGTGGCAACAGAGAGAGAGAGAGAGAGAGAGCAGAGACATGGGGAGAGAGATGCTTCGTGTTGCGCCCTGCGTGGCGTTAGCAATCGTTCGTACCTTTCCCCGTCTGCACTGCGCGCTGGGCATGAGGCTGGCGTGCGTGCTCTTTGGCCCCTCGATCCCCCCGCCTCTCCGGCAGCCACCCCGGCATCGCCCGCCTGGTGTCGTCCTTCCGCTTCCGCGACGGGGCCTACCTCGTGCTCGAGTATGCCTCCAAAGGCCGGCCTGCGCTGCCACACGGGGGGGAGGGGGGCGACGGAGCGCGGGGAGCTGGGGCCCAGCCCTGACGTCAGGGGCAGCGTCAGGCGGGGATGGGCTCGAGGGGCGATGCATCGCCCCCCAGTCGCCCAGGCATCATCGACAGGGGCCCTCGAGAGGCCCACCCGCCCAGGAGCCTCCAGACTCGCGATCGGGCGCCTCTCGTCGAGGCAGCGCCCGGTCCGAGGTCATGTCTCGCCCCCCCGAGCAGCAGGTCGCCCCCCCCCCCCTCGCCCCCGCTCATACACGGGGTTCGGCCAGGCCTTGGTGTGGTCTCCCGCGGGCCCAGGTTCTGGTAGCGACGTGGGGCGTGCCAGAGAGGGCCTCGTCTTCCAGGGTTGGATTTGGCACGGGCCGGGCCGGCGGAGTGAGCGAAGTGATCGAGTGAGGACCACTCGGCTTCACCATTGGCCCCGACCCGTGACGCCTGGGCGATCCGCCTCCTCCTCCTTCCTCCTCCTCCTCCTCCTCCCCCTCCTCCTCCTCCCCCTCCTCCCCCTCCTCCTCCTCCTCCTCCTCCTCCTCCTTCGCCGGCGGGAGGTCCAGCGGAGGCCGGCCCACAAAAAAAGTGCGGGCGGCGGGTCCGCGGGCGGAGGGTCACCGCGGGAGGGTCGGCGGCAGCAGACGGGCGGCGTCCGCATTGCGAAGGCCTTACGGCCGGTGCCGCCGACGACGACGACGACGACGACGACGACCTCCTCCTCCTCCTCCTCCTCCTCCTCCTCCTCCTCCTCCTCCTCCTCCTCCTCCTCTTCGTCCTCCTCGTCCTCCTCCTCCTCCTCCTCCTCCCCCTCCTCCCCCTCCCGACGACGACGACGACGACGACGACGGCGACGGCGACCGCTCTTGGGGGCCTCTTGGGGGTAGTTTGTGGGCCTCTTGGGAGGCTCTCGGGGGCCGCTTGGAGGCCTCGTGCCGGCGGAGGGCGGCGGGAGCGAAGGAGCGACGTCCAGATTTTCAGGGTGCGGGTGTCTGGAGCCGCACACGTGGAGCCCCCCCCCCTCTCCGCGTTTTGCTGGTCCGGGTTTGGGAGCACTTGCCTGGCTGGCCTGGGTTCCCGACGCGGCCTTGACTAGCCGGGTTGAGCGCTGACTCGGCTCAGCGCTTCCCCGAGGGCTGCTTCTCTTAAGCTCTGAGTGTTTGGTCAATCTTCGCGGGCGATGTTTCTCCCCCAATCCCCGAGTTTCGCCCGAAAAGTCTGGCCGCTCAGAAGAATGGGAAAACCCTGGGATACACCCCAAGGGGGCTATTCGGACGCACCCCTATCGAGAATGGACACCCCCCCATCGTATATCCCAGGATTAGGCCCCAAATTTCTGGTCCATTCGGAAACCCCACGAAGCCTGGGATAGGGGTCGACATATCCCCTGTTATTTGGTCAATCTCCCATGTTCGATCGAGGGCATGTGTCTTTGTGGCAGAATGAAAGCTCGATAGATTGCTGATGGACGACTCCGAGAGAGAGCGCGTAGAGGCTTGTCAGACTTGGCCTGGCGGGTTTCGGCAGAGAGTGGTCTGCTTCCCCCCCCCCCCGCCTTGGCAAAACCACGCAGCCCAGGCGACTTGCACTCGATCCTGGTGCGCTTCGGGGGGCGTGGGAGCGACAAGGGAATCAGTGAGGGCAAGGTAAGTCGTTTCCAGTCGCTTGGGGTCCCGTCCTCTCTCTCTCTATATTTCTTTCCGTCTCCCCTCTCGGTCTCTCTGTCTATCCCCCCTCTCTCTTTCTCCTTCTCTCTCTCTCTTTATCCTGCTTTCGTCAGCCACCAGCCCATGGCAGACGCCATCAACCCCTGCCCACCTTCCGCTGATTCGCAGCAGTGTGCAGGGAGAGTGTCGTGGCCAGGGGCCCTGGGCGGCAGGTGCCGCGACAGGCGCAGGTCCAGGCGCTCGGCCAGCCGAGTCATGCAGTCGCGGCTATCAGCATCACCTGTCCGCTTGCGGAAGCCCCAGGCGGGGCATTGCAGCAGCGCAGGTCTGACCAGAAGCTTCGAACCGTGGCATCTGCCCTACCAGAGGCTTGACATCTGGAGATGCTAGTGCTTGCGTGCATCGCCAGCCGAATGTTGTGCGATTATCACCTGTTCACCCTGAGTGGAAGTTGCCAGCGCCTCGTCGGTGCCCACAGCCTTTGGGCTCCCGGTGGTAATGGTAAGCTGTCGACTCAGAGTACAATGACCACCGAGACGGAGTTGCGCAAGTGATTGCCAGTAGGTGGAGAAGCCACACGCGTAACCAGCAAGTGCGGGTTTGTTCTGCGGAGGGGAGAACGAGAGAGGGGAAGAGAGGGATATTTGGCTGTGCGCCCGTAGCAGACATCATGTGTATATATGTCGGCGGTGCGCCGTGGCACGAACCCCCCCCCCCAGCACTACCGGGGGGTTTCGTGCACTACCGGGGGGTTTCGTGCAGCCCGCACCGGGTGCCGCCAGCGGCTTAGAACACCCCCCCCTTGCCGCTTTACCGGGGGGGTTCGTGCAGGCCGCATTGGGTCCTCCCCTGTCGCTTTACTGGAGGGTTTCGTGCAGGCCGCACTGCGTCCACCTGGGCTCCCCCCCCCCCCCTGTGGGAGTGGGGGGGTGGGAGTGGGGGGTGGGTTGGGGGGGGGCAGGGGGGCGGTTGGGAAGGGTGGCTCCCTGTCGAAGTGTGGCGTGTGCTCGCCTTGTGTTCTCTATTCGCGTCTGCTCGCCTTTGTTCCGCCGCAGCCTCTCGTATTGTGGCTCGTGGCCACAATACGAGAGGCTGCGGCGCAACTCCCGAGAGCCACTGTGGGGGGTCGACGGCACGGCCGCGTAGAGAAGAACAGTGCCGCCGTGTTCTGGCACGGCCCTGGGATGCAATGCCGCCGCCGTGTTCCGGCCCGTCCTGGTAAGATTCGCGCGTCGGGGCTGGGGTTCGCGCCGCTTACGGAGGGGTTGCGTCCTTACCGGGGGGTGTCGTGCAGCCTACCAGAGGAGGTCGTGTTTACCGGGGGGTTTCGTGCAGGCTCGCACCGGGAATGGCGCCAGCTCGAAACCCCCCAGGAGAGATTACCGGGGGGGGGGGTTCGCTCCGCACCGGGCACCGCCGACATATATATGATTTGACAAAAAATGACTACGCCACGATTGGATAGATAGACAGAGGTTCTCCGCTGCGCAAGCAGTTTATGCGCATAGCTCAGAGGCACATGAGTGAACACTTAGATTCCATTTCCCCATGGACGCCCCAGAACGCCAGCCAGCCCCAGCATGAAGGAAAGGGGGGGTTGGAGAACGGGCTCTTAGTCCCAGGCGTTTTCCCGAGAGCTGCTGGCTCTGGGGAAAGTGCGCGGGTGAAGAATTGAGATGAGTTTTTAATCCCGAGCATGAAGTTAACGACTCAGAGTACGAGGACCACCGAGAGGGATTTGCGCAACTTATTGCCAGGAGCTGTCGACAGTTCTTCATCCCGAACAGTTTTCGGGGCCAGGGAAATGTCCACTACACTATTTTAGATGTGTCCAGCACTCAAGGGCACATGGCGGCCCAAACATCGTGTATCATGATATGTGCTTCGACACGTGTCGCCCAGAGAACTGGCCTGAAAATGATTCAATATACGTTGTCAGGCGGCATTTCAGCTAAGCCCCATGGGACAGGTCCTCGATACGTGGTTCCCAAGTTTTGTTTGCAGTCTCTGGGCCCGTGGGGGCCGCAGGGGCCGAGAGAGGACGGGGTAGAACGGAATGGGGAGGGCTGAGGGGAGAGGAGCGGTCTCCACCCAGTCTGGGGGAGTCCCTTGCAGCACCGGGGCCCGGGACCCCACGCGGGCTCGGGCAACCCGTGGGTGCTCCTTGACAGCTGCACGGCGATGGCAGGGCACGTCTGCGTGGCTCTGCCTGCAGTCCAGGCGCTGGAATGGGGACCGCTTGGGGTTCGGAAGGGCTCGCTGTTTCTCGGGTCCGTCCGAGGTTGTTCCTCCAGCCCCCTTCGTGCGCCCAGGCTCTTGTGGTGCCCAAAACAAAAGGGCTCCGTCTCTTGTCTAGCGCTCCCTGTTGCAGCAGCCTGACTGTTTCCCAATCCCTCTCGCGAGCTTCCTGCACCCTGACAGATCAGTTGCCTCCTTCTCCTCTGACGCTCCCTCTCGTCCTCATGCGGCCTCTCTCTCCTTCTGCGTCTGCCTCCTCTTTTCCCTCCTCGACTGCGAGCCTCTTCATTCTGTTCGGCCGCTGGCCGTGGGGCGTATTTGTCTCCAGCCTGAGACCAAACAATGCACGGGGAATGGACGTCCGAGCGATGACAAGAGTCGTTTTCGGTGGGAGGGAAGATTAGAAAGCATCCCCCCTCCTTCTCCTTCTTCTTCTCCTCCTCCTCTTCCCCCTCCTCCGCCCCCTCCTCCCCTCCTCCTCCTCTTCCTCCTCCTCCTCCTCCTCCTCCTCCTCCTCCTCCTCCGCCCCTCCTCCTCCGCCCCTCCTCCTCCTCCTCCTCCTCCTCCTCCTCTCCTCCTCCTCCTCTTCCTCCTCCTCCTCCTCCTCCTCCTCCTCCTCCTCCTCCTCCTCTGCCTCCCCCCTCATTCCTCTCCCTCCCTCCCGTTCTCTGTGCCTCGCGCGCGGCGCCTCTCGTCTCGGTCGCCCCCGCCCTCCGTGCCGGAGCGGGAGGTGCGGTGCGGCAGACTGGAGGAGGACACGGCCCGATTCTTCCTCGGGGAGGTGATTGCCGCGCTGAGCGCGATTCACGAGATAGGGTCATCCCCTCTGCCTCTTTCGCGCACCCTTCCTGCGTGTCTGATCCCAGGATTCCACCGCGCCGTGTTCTTCCTGCGCCGAGCGCGGCTCATGAGATGGTGTCGTCCTTTCTGCCTCTTCCGCGCAGCCTTCCCGCGAGTCTGATCCCCGGATGCCATCGCGCATGTCCTTCCCATTTTCACCCCTGTTCCTGGCGGCTACTTCGCCCCCGCCCTTCCTCGTGCCTCTCTTCAGTCCGTCCTTGCTCTACTATTCCTCACTGCTGCTTTCCTCGCTATCTTCCTTCGCTTCCTTGCTTCGCTTCCTTCCCTCCGCTTCCCATTACAGTCGGGGCCCTGAAGAAGGAACCCTTTTCGTTGGGAGGGGCTCCGTGTTCCTTGCTTGTTTCACAGCTTGCCTCAGGTTTTCCTCATGTTTTCGACGGGAAATCGAAGCTCAACTTATGGAAAAAAGGGGCCTCGTAATTTATGTAGGGTTCCTTAGGTCAACGCCCCGACTGTACATCGCTCCCCCCCCATCCCCGTTCGCGTCCTCTCTTCCACTCCCTCCATTCTCCCTCCCCTTACCATCACATCGCTTCCTCGCTTCCTTGCTTCGCTTCCTTGCTTCGCTTGCTTGCTTCGCCTCCTCGCTTCGCTTCCTCGCTTCGCTTCCTCGCTTCCTTGCTTCGCTTCCCTCCCTCCCCTTACCAGTACGTCGCTTCCTCCCCCGTCCCCATTCCCGTCCTCTCCTTCCGCTCCCTCCATTCTCTCTCTTGCTGCCTCGGCTCGTCTCCTCCCCCCCCAAACGCCTCCTCCTCGTGCCCGCCCGCGCTCTTCCTCCTCCTCCTCCTCCTCCACCGCACCCTGTTGGCGGCCCGGCATCGCTCGGACGTGTGCATTTTTTTCTTCGGCGAGGGCCATCGAGGCGCATCCTTGACCACCTGGCGAAAAAAACACTCACGACACCGACAAAAAAACACAGGGAATGGACGTCCGAGCGATGGCCAGGTGGGCCCGACGAGCTCCTGGCAGCACTTGACTCCCAGGAGGGAGGAGAGAGGAATCGGGTGACGGAGGCGCCCGGGTCGGAGGAGAGAAGTGAAGGAGGAGGTGGTTGAGGATGTGGACGGGTCCGACGATTCGGGCCTTCGAGGCCCCATCTATTGCCTGAGAACAAACAGCCGGGGGGGGGGGGGGCTGGATGGACGGAGAGGAACACGATACACGCACAGGGGACGGGATGCGCAGACCAGATGCAGACGTGCGCCGAAGAACCGGGCAGTTCTAGGCGCTCCGCGTAACCCCACCGGTCCGTCCAGGAACGATGCCCAGACGAGTTGCCCTGATGGGGTGTGTGGGGGAACACGCAGTGGAATAAAGGCTGGGAAGCCATCATGCCCCAATATGGGGGAGGAAGGAGGAGGAACCAGAGGAGGAGGGGGATGGGGGAGGAGGGAAGAGGGAGGATGGGGGAGGGAGGGAGGAGAATAAGGAGGAGCAGGAGGAGGAGGAAGAGGAGGATGAGGAGGGCTCTCGGAGTTTCCTCGGATTCTCTTGGAAGCCTCTTGTAAGCCTCTTGGGGCCACGTGGGGACCTTGCGGCGGTCTCGGGGGCCCTCTAAAGCGTCCTGGGTGCCTCGGGAGAGCCTGCTCCGGCCTCTTGGGGGTCTCTTGGGAATCTCTCCGGAGCCTCTTGGGGGCATCTTGTGGGCATCGTGGGTGCCTCTGGTGGCCTCCTGGGCGCCTCGTGGGACCCTCGGAGGAAATCGATTCAAGGAGAGGCCGTAGTAATTACCCCCCCCCTCCCAGGATGCCAAAATGTGGCCAACATTTTCGTAGAATTATCGATGTTGGCATTCGCGTCGATGCGTCTTGGGTGCCTCTGGAAGGGGGGGGGGTGGCGCCTCTTTGGGGTCTCTTGGGAGCATCTTGGGAACAGCTTGGAGGCCTCTTGGGGGCCTCTGAGGGCCTCCTCGGCACCTCGCGGCTGTCTCGGGGGCCTCTTGAAGTGTCTTAAGTGCCTCTGTGAAGCCTCTTCGGGACTCTTGAGGGTCTTTGGGGAGTCTCTGAGGGGCCTCTTGGAGGCATCTTGGGGGCATGTTGGGGACCTCGTGAGGCCTCCTGGGCGCCTCTTGGGGTCCTCTTGGGGCACTCTTGGGACCCTCGGGGTTCATCCTGGGGCCATCTTGGAGGACGTCGATCAAAGTAGGGACCGTGGTAATTTCCCACCTTAAAACGGCAATGTATTGTGGCCTTCTCGCTGAGGCCTCTTGGGGTGTCTTGGGTGCCTCTGGGGGGCCTCTCAGGGTTCTCTTGGGAGCATATTGGGGGCCTCTTTGGGGCCTCCCAGGGCCTCCTGGGCACATCGTGGGGTCGTCTTGGGGCACCCTTGGGAGCCTCTGTGGCCATCATGGGGCTATCTTGGAGGAGATCGATCAAAGGAGGGGGGCTCTTTAATTAGGGTCCTCCCCCCAGGAGGCCAACATGTGGCCAAAACCTTCGTAACATCAGGAACTTTGGCCTTCTCGGGTCTCTTGGGAGGTATCTTGGGGGCATTTTTGCACCTCCTGGGCGCATATTAGGCCCTCTTGGGGCACTCTCGTCTCGGGAGCTTCGGGGGCCATCTTGGGGCCATTTTGAAAGTGATCTATCAAAGAACGGGGGAGGTCCCAATTAGCGCCCCCCCCTCTAAAGGCTAACATGTGGCCAAAACCATCGTACAATCAATGATTTAGGCTTCCTTGCCGAGGACATTTTGGACGCTCACAATGCTCTCGACCCACCCCGTCCAGACCCAGGGGGAGTGGGTAGGGGGAGGGGGAACCCCCTCCTTGAAGGGGATGTGTGAAGGTGGAAGAGGGAACTCCCTAAACTCACGCCTAGAGAGCTGGTGGGATTCCCCATCGATCGTACACGTTTCGGTCCAGTGTTTTTGTCAGCAGCTTCTTCGGAGCCGGTCTGGCCTCCGCGTGAAAGTTGGTCTCCGCGTTTGCCCAGCAGCTTGCCATGAAGTTGGCCCCGACTTTTTATGCGAGAGCTAGATGTTTCTGGGAGCTCGGAGCTTGCCAGGGTGCACCTCAAGGAGCTGTTCGACTCCAGTCCGACTCCAGTTTGCATCTAACCCGACTCAAGCTGGACCCAAGTTCGACCCAATTTGACGGACGTTCGACGGCGGTGGTATTCTCTGGATCTGTGTCGGCCCTCGTGGCGCTCGCATGTATGTTGTGGCGCTTGCGACGTCAAGCTGCGTTCTTGCGCCGCGGCGCTCGCAGGGTCTCGTGGAAGTGACATGGTTCGCGGCTGAAGGCAGAGATTCGTGGCCTGGGCTCTCACCGCGACGAGTGCGGACTAATGCGGGTGCCGTATCCTCCACATCTTTTTTCCAGCGACGAAAAGAGCCCAGCGGCAGCGAGCAGAGAGACGACAGGGACACGACGACGACGACGACGACGGGCGACAGACGAACGACGCGGTCGCGAGGGAGGACTGCAGGGTGGGGAGGGCGAGGGGCGGGCCGCGCGCGCACGCACGCGCGCACGCACGCACGCGCGCGCGCGCTCACGGCGCCAGCCGAAGCCCGCGCCGCGGGGAGGCAGCTGGCGGTGGTGGTGGCCACCTCACTGCGGGGCTCAGGAGACGGGGGGCCAATGCAAACGGGGGTCAGCCAGAGCGCCAGATCTTGCAGGATCTTGCAAGGCCTGGCCGACCCGGATCTGGGTTGAGCCGGGTCCGTCGATCCCCGATCCCTCCGCTTGTCCCCTGCACCCTTGGTATCCAGACTGCTGAGATCCTTCGGCGAGGAATGCCGTCACCGCCGTGCTCGCAGGGACGCGGTGCTCGCAGGCTCGCTGCGGTGCGTCTCGCTCGCAGGCTGCACTGCTGTGCACATGCTGCGCTCTGCTATGATTTTGGTCCGTCGACATGCTGCGCATATCGCGGTGGTGTGGTGGTCCTGTCATGGAGGGAGGCCTCGAAGGAACTTGCTGGCAGCCTCTGGGAGCTTCCGGAGCGACCTCCGAGGGCCTCCGGAGGCGTCTGGACTCGTCGTCCTCGTCCTCGTCGCCAAACGCCTTCGCCCTAGCCGTGGTCGGCGCCGATGACGCGGATCCAAACTTGCGCGGGCGCCGCCACGACCCCCGCCGCCACCCTCATTACTATGACCTCCCCTTCGGCCCCCATTCCGCCCCCATCCCACCCCCCAAGGTAAAGGACGTTACCCCTGGTGAATCTAAGTACTCCCAACGTCGACGCCAAATATGAAGGCACGAACCACATGAAAAGCAATTTTGCAACATCAGCAGCAAACACATCAACAGAGCTGGCAGTGGTCTCGGAACACGCAACCCGACTGAACAGGTAAGAGTTCTTTAATGCTAAACCGTATTCTCGGAGCAGACGCTTTATGCTTTCTTCGCCTTTGTCTTGGTCTGAGGGAGGAGGGGCGGGCCTTTCAGCCTTGAGGTTCGTGTACGCGGACCTCAAGCCCGAGAACGTCGTGATCACGTCCACAGGCCACGCCAAGCTGACCGACTTTGGCGGCTGCCGGCCCGTGACCGAGGAGGCCACACCCGTCTTCTGCCGGGCATTGCCGTAAGACAGAGACGCCCAGGCCTTTCTTTTCGGTTGCTCGCCGCGTCCTCCACCTCATCTTCACGCTGCTCTGTTTCCAGGTCGCCCTCGTCATTCTCCGAGGTCCTCGTCCGAGTCCGCCTCGTCGTGAGCCGTTGGTCATTATTGCTCTTGCTCTTGCTCCTCGAGGTCCCTCTGCCTCGGCCCTGGGGGGCTGACAAGTTTCAACCCGCCGCTCTCCCAAGCGAATCTCGCTGCCGATGTCCCTTTCGGCGTGCTGGCGTCTTCTGTCTCGGAGTTCCGGTTGCTGCCGCGGCCGTGCACGCCTCTGAGCATTGGCGTGGAGGGCTGTAGCTGCGCCCCCCCTGTTACGGTCGATCCTCCTCCAGGTTCTCGCCCTGGTCGTTCTCGTCGTCATTCCCTTCCTCATCTTCCTGATCGTCGCCGACGCTGGCCAGGCTCTGGGAGCCCGGGCCCACGGCCCGAGGAAGAGGGCACCAGAGCGCCTCGCCGGACGGGGCCAGGACGAGGGCCCAAATCCGCTCCGGAGCCTTCTGGAACGCTTCCAGAGCCTTCCAGGACGCTCCGAGAAGGCCGCGGCGCCCGAGACATCCTCCAGAGCCGCCGGACCTCAGAGCCGCCGGACCGCAGCGAGGAGTTGGGTTGGGTTGGGAACGGCCTAAAAGGCAGCGGCACGCCGCTAGAAGCACTACCACTCCCAGTCTTCCACATCGCTTTCCGATGAGAAGCCGGATTCGCTTGCTGTACGGGCCCTGGCGGTCACCCTCAGGCCGCGCACGCGCACCGCAGGCAGGTCGGATTCAGCTATGCCGAAAGAGCGGAGCACGACCTCCCGCTGGGACAGCGCTGGCGCCGCTGGGCGTTCTTCGCCAGCGCGGGCACAGGTTGGCGCTGGAGAGGCGGCAGTCGAAAAGACGGCTTGCAAACGGAGGCGCTCGTCCATAGGCACGCCATCCGGCGGCGCCAGTCGCAGCCCCCGCGTGGTCTTGCGATAATGGGGATGGTCACCCGCCGTCAGCTTAGACAACTGCTCGCGCAGCTTCGGGCCGCTCCGCGAGCCCTTGCAATCTGAAAGCATGCATTTGCCTGGGGACCGGCCCCCAAAATAGGCCCCACAACGGTAGCAAAAAATAAGCCGCATTCCGCTTTTCCCCTGAATGTCGGCACTCAGCAAGGCATGGCCCCTGGCCCGAAACGCGACAGGCTCATAGTCCCGCCACGCTGGGGCCCACTCAACGTAGAGCTCGAAAGGAGGAGGAGGAGGAGGAGGACGAGGATGGGAGCGGTGAGGCCGCGCCTCCGCGGCATCACTGGCTGAAAGGCTCACGCCAGCATCCGCTGCTCCCCCAGCATTCGCATCCGCGCATCCCTCCTCGGCATGCTTGCCCAAGACGTCCTCCCGGTCTGGCGGCCCCTGGTCGGCGACATGGCTGTGCAGTTGACCCGCCCAACGGCCCACCTCGACCGCGATGTCCGCCAGGCCGGCCCAGAGGTGAGCAGCAGCGGCCGTGACGCCATGCAATGCTGCCCCCGCTTTGGCGAGCTCGTCGGCCTTCCCGTTCGCTCGTTTCTCCATGGGGGTAGTCTGGCCTCCGTCCACGTCGGCCTGCGTCGCATGAGCCAAAGTCTTGTGGATAGTGATGTCACTCGGCATGAACGCCCCCCAGAATTTGCCCCACCAGTGTGGACGGTCGTCTGTGGACCGCGTGCCCGTCCCTGGACCGCCACTCACGACGCCGATGGTGCCCGCGCAGTCGACGTACAAGTCGATGGGGGCCATGGCGACCAGCGGGAGGACCATGCTCACGGCAAAATCCTCGCCGTCCCGCGCTGTCTGAAATGGCGCCTCACTTCGCGGGACGACCCCGTAAACCGCCGCGACCAGGTTGCCGAGCCTGTCCACCTGGACTAACGACCACCCCGCTCTGGACAGGCACGGGATGGCTGGGAAGAGTGCGGAGCCGTCGCTGAAGATGCGCCCTCGCAGGAGGCCGTCGCTGGGTCGGTTGATCCAGTGCATCTCGAAAGGCACGTCCGGGAAGCTGAAGAGCGCGGACGGGTCCGGCAGGATCCCCCTGGCCAGCCTCTCCCCCGCTGCCTTGCTCCAGGTGCGCACTGTCTGGGCTCGGCATTTGGCCTCTGGTGAGAGGTACTGTCGACGGAAGGGCTCGTAGGCGGGACACTCGAAACACCGATGCCAGAGGGTGCCCTCAGCGCCTCCGCAAGCCTGACAGACGTCGGAAGTCACCAGTCCATGCGCAGCTAGCCGTGCTTGTCCCCACAGGGTGTGGCTCACAGCCGAACGCAGGGCACGAAGATGTCGCAGATCCCAAACCTCCGACGTTTTACTGAACAGCCGTCGGAGGGGTGCCCAGAACACTGGGGCAACCGGCGCTTCGTCCAGAACGTCTGGCACGCCTTCTCCCCCCCTCCAGGTGCCTCGCGTTCTGCTCAACGCCTGCATGTCGGAAGCCCTGGCGGTGGCCCGGGCCACCAAGCGCTTCACCTGGTTCGGCGGCAGCTTCTGCAGGTCGTAGGTGGCCCCGTCGACGCCGGTGTCGCGGACGACGGTGCTGCTCTCGAAGACCATACCTATCCTCTTCAGGGTCATGACCGCCACGTCCGCCGGAGTGGTGACCAGCCGCCATGTCGCCGACGGTGGGGTGCACTTCGCTAGAGCGTCTCGCATGACGACGTCCAAGATGCGAGGCCTGGGAGTCGCCTCCCAGACGGCCGCGCTCCACATCCAAGCTACCTGCGTGGCTGCGAGCACGAACGGGTCGTAGTCGACGCCCTTCTTGAACGAATGCAGCCGCAAACCGATCGACGCACCTCTCGGCAAGCGTCCAAAACTTCTCGCCGCCGCCACCCGCAGCCCGTGCAGCGCTCCAGTGGCGATACCTTGGACTGCGGATCCCCACATGGCTACTGCTGTGCCGCCTGCCCGCTGCAATTGCCAGATCTCTGCCCCAGCGTCCCGGAGCATCTGCGCGCGCGCGGCACGGTAGCGGGCGCCTTGCTCACGGCTTCGAGCCGTTGCCACCCTCCTGACCTTACCCATCGTCACGTCCGTCCCTAAAGAACGGGTGCTGTCAACCCTCGCCGTGGGAGGCAACGACCATCGCTGCTGCAGGGCATCCGCTACAAGCTTGCTGGACGCCATGTACACGCACTTCTTCAGCGAGATGGGAAGGTCGAGCCGCGCCAACTCTGCGAGCAGCGCCTCGGTGCCTGTGCCAACCTGGTCCACGACGAGGTCGCTGGAGCCCACAGCCTGGAGCTTGATGTCGTCCACGACGTTGCGCACGTACAGCTGCGGCCGTGGATTGGCGACCATCTGCAATGGCGCCAACAATAGAAGCCTGGCCAGTGACGTTGCCGCGGAACACCCAGCTATGACGGCCCCGTTCGCCTGGTAGATGGTCGAGATCGCCCCGCCGAACATGAGGGCGCGCTCCCCTGCGTAAATCACGCAAAGGCCTCGGAGCAGCACCAGCGGAAAGCCGAAGCGGACGGCAGCGTCGTACAAAAACTTCAAGCGGATATGCTCGTAGAATTTCCGCAAGTCCAACACGGCGGTAGCGCAAGACATCCCAGCGGCGCGGCCGAATCCAGCTAATACGTTATGGAGCCATCCCGCTCTGTCGCAAGACGTCTGGGTGGACCCACCCCAGAAAAACGCGGCATCGTGGCGCAGCTCCCAAGCCCTGCACTCCCTCTGGCGCATTTTCGACCACAGCTTGGGGAAGAGAGCCAGCAATCCGATGGGCCTTACCCCACCATCGGGTTTGGCCAAGAACATCATGTAGGTAATGAAGTCCCGTAGCACCTTGGGGCGGCGCTCGAACAAGTGCAGCAGCCATCAGAACCGGAGCTGGTACTCCTCGGGGAGCTGCAGGATCCACTTGGGATGGAAAGCATCCCAGCCCAATCCTGCTGCCTCTGGGTAGGCTTTGCAAGCCCGGCGCAGGTCATCCAGCTTCAGCGGCTCCAGCTCGCTTCCGTCGATGTCCCAGTCCTCGGGATGCTGATCTGACTCGCGAGAGCTCGCCCGCCAGAGCGGAACCCAGTCCTCCACCAGCTTCTCGATGGCCTCCTGGCCGTTCACAGGCAGGACGTGCTCCGTGGTTTCGTCCACCAGATCCTCATGAGTGCCTCGCCGGAGCTTCGTGAAGCGGTGCGCCGCTTTTCCGCCTTTCTGCACTGCGCGTTTGGCCCACGTTCGCCAGCCCTCGAGCTGCTCACGTGCGTCTGCCATACGTCGAGCCTGCACCTCCCGCTCCAGCGCCTGCCAATCTACCTCGCTGACGGCACCTCCGATGGTGGTCACATGGCGGAGGATCCTGAACAAGACCACGCTCGTGCACTCGCTTCCCTCCCTTTCCGGCATGTCCCCGAGCATGTCCTGAAGTTTGGTACCCCAAGCTGCCAATCTCTCCTGCCCGGGGCGTCCTGGATGTGAAGACGCGATGGTCTGCGCCCGCCTGCACAAAGCCTGGAAAGCCACCCAAGTGCAGGTGGCCGGGGAAGTCCTCCTCCTGAGCTCCCGTTCCCAAGCCACGCAAAACGGAACCTTCGCGGTGCGAGGGCCCCTTGACCTGCCGACGTACTTCCGCCGGTCTATCTCGGTGATGCCATGGAGGTCGACCAGGAACCCCTCGGACTGATCGAACCAACCTTTGATCAGCCTCTCCATGTCCATGCTGGGGTCGTCAGAGGCCGGCGTGGCCCAGCAGGCCGGCTGCGGCTCCCGCTGTGGGCCGATGGGGACGTCGACGTCGAAGCGCTTGAATCTGACGGGCCGCTCCACTTCCCGATTGCTCCTGAGACCAGTCAGCCGCAGCAGGATGGGGCTGTGCGGGCTACTCGGCGCACCGTCGAGCACAGCCACCTGCGTCACGCATGCCGCCAGAAGCTCGGCCACAACGAAGTAGTCCAGGACTCGCCCCGGGGACGTGTCGGAGGGCTTAT